TTTTCAGTTCCCGTTTGTGGTCAAGTTTCCCAAAATGCTAATTTTGTATCATATATTTGCTGAATTTTGAGTCAATTCAGTTGCTCAATACCTGGAAATTCCCAGACTCTCACGAAGATATGCAGCATTCCCATGAACACTTCATCCCCATACCCTCATTTCCTGCAAGAGATAGGATTTAATATTCATATATATTAATTCCAACTATATATGTAAATTACCCCAGTTCGATTGGACATGATTAAGAAAATTATTGATTATACGGCAGTTTATATTATGCATAATTCTGCATTGAAACAAGCAAATACTGAACTTCAAGATTTGTGAATTATAATATTATATTAGTGTTGCTCCCAAACGCACACGCAAGTATACGTGGTCGACAAGTAATATAGGATTGTATGTCCAGATATCGTACCCACAGGGACTTGTGATTAACTATCAACTAATTAATTAAACCAAACAATTAATCTATTCAAGTGAATCGTAAAGTATGAATATTTAACTAAAATTAATCTAGAGTAAAAAATTAAGAGATTAACGACAAGCTTAAAGACGAATTCAATGGGAGAGAATATTCTAGAGATATGGATTAGCTAACAATTCCGTTGAGTTTTCTACCTAAATTGTCTAATTAATTTATCTAGTTTATTGATTAACGGGGTTAATATTGCTCGTAGCCTTCTCCCGAAGTACAACTCACCTATTCAAGCTAACCTATCGCCTATATTCCTATGGAATTAGGATTAACAAGAACGCATTTATAATTCCAGTATAATAACCAAACAAGACAATTAGGTATATTCCTATCCTAACCGCAAATCTGATCCCGATATTCGAGTTCAAGATCTTGCTCTACTCAATCTTATATGCAATCTAGAATTCCCTCTCCCGAGTTCAATCCTAGATTCATAGATAGTATTCAATTGGTGATCAAGCAATCAAATAATTAAGCGCACGATCGAATAAATAAATCAATATGATAAAATAATAAGAATAATTCAAGCTTCAAACAACAACGTTCATGTATCACCCACAACTCTAGAACTAATAAACTATGAAACTAAGAGAAGAGAAGAGAAGAAAAACTAGTTAGAAGCCTCCTCCAAGCGTGGTTTGTTCTCCTTAGGTCTAAAGTATGTCAAAAGTCCTCAAAATAACATTTTTACATGTAATTATACCAAGTAGGGTTGGGCCAAGACGAAATCTCCTTTTTCTAGCCGAAATAGGAAAACTTGCAAACTTATTGCTTTTTATGTGTCGCACTATGCGTCGCCCAGTGTGTTGCACTAATGCTTTTTCCTGTAAGACATCAAACAACCCAATCTCTGAACTTTGAAAGTTTCTGACAAAAATTTGCACTAATGCATTGCACAGTGCCTCGCACTAGTGCATTTCTTTAGCAGTTGCTTCTTCCTTGAATTTTGAAGTCCAGATTGATCTTCGATCCCGAACACGATCCGGGCTTAATCCCTTGGGCTTTTACGCAGACTTCTAAGCTCCAAATAGCTCGAATTAATTCCATAACATCTACATAACTCAGAATCGCTCCTACAAGGCATAAAACACACAATAAGTGCAAAACACTAATGATTAAAGCTCAATCACAATAAAAATATAGTAAATTAGAGTGCGATAAGCGACTAAAATACGTAATTATAGCCTACCATCAACACCCCACACTTAAACTATTGCTCGTCCTCGAGCAATCAAACTACACTTTATATAGACACATCCTTTTCAAACAATCCTCCTAACTCATTACACCAAGAATATATAAAATAGACTAAGCACAATAATGTAACATCATCACCTCAAGATTTAACTCACAAGCACCACGCATTTTTCACAACCCGCTCACTTACTCTAACGTAGAGGTCAAGCATTACCTTTCCTTTATGAATCAAGTGCCCTCACACAACAAAAGAGAGCAGTTCCACACTCAATAAAATTTAAGAACAATTAGAAACTCAAGATAGAAAGAATTCTCTCACTCTCAGAAACAACATTCATATGCCACAAAAGATGCACCATAGGCTTGCCCGTAGTGTACTGCTCTACTAATCGAGCTTATTCAGTCTAAGATCAAGTAGGTTCTTTAATTGGTTGTAATGTAGGCTGCGGGACTGGTAGGATACATTTAGATATAAGAGTGACTACACCTCCCTAAGCACTTTAATACATACACTTTAACATTTAAAACCCCACACTAAACCATAACTCCACCTTCACATCAATATATATCAACTTCTACTTCTTTAAGCATAATTACATCAAGAGTTACCACTTTCAAGGAATATTTTTCACAACAATTCAACTATTTTTCTTTCTATTTCGATTCAAGTGGCTCTTACTTTTTCAAGACAATGCACATACCTAATTTCTTTTGTTCCACTCAAAATCCAAATCAACCACCCCACATTTTAACAGAGTTCATTACAATTCAAGTGCTCATAAGAGAAAAAAGTTCAAATAGATGGTTAATTCGAACAAATGGGTAAGGCTTGTAATGTGGTTGCAAAGAAACAAGATCACAGGCTCAAAGGGGTTAAATACGATATATAATAATTAGGTGGGTAAAAGCATATAACTGGCCCAACAAAGAAATACCTATATCACTTCCTAGACTGAACATAACTACTATTTCGCTTTGCAACCACACGGGGCAAGTTCTAGACATCAAATGCAATGCACAGAATAACACAAAACCTTTACACACACATGGCACAAAACTCACTCGGTATTGGACTCATCAAGACACTCTAGTCAAAGCAGTTAAGCAAAATTAAGATCATACAATTTAAGGTACTTATACAAGAGTCAAAAACTGAGCATAAGCGTCACAAGCAAAGTACTCACTATTCTCAAGGCATAACAAAGTCAAGAGATAATGCTTCAATTCAATTCATGGCACACTGGCTCCTACTCCTACAAAAACTAACTACACCCAGTTCAAACAAAACCCTTGGAAAAGAACCGCGGCCAAAGAAAAACCAAGGAGGAATTACTATACCACCTACAAAGAAAATATTTTTTTCTTTTTCTTTCGACTTAAATCCCTCAAGAAAACTGTCTAGGAGATCCATTGTGCAGTAAATTCTAGCGATTAAAGCACAAACTCAATTAAAGTGCAGTAAATTCGAATGTAATAAGCGACTAAAATATGCAATTATAGCCTATCATCAAGTAGGATTGGGCTAAGACGAAATCTCCTTTTCCTAGCCGAAATAGGAAAACTTGCAAACTAATTGCTTTTCATGCGTCGCATTGTGCGTCGCCCAGTGCGTTGCACTAATGCTTTCTCCTGTAAGACATCAAAAAACCCAGTCTCTGAACTTTTAAAAAATCTTACAAAAATTTGCACGAATGCGTCGCACGAGTGCATTTCTTTAGCAGTTGCTCTTCCTTGAATTTTGACGTCCAGAATTGATCCTCGACCCCAACACGATCCCGGCTTAATTCCTTGGGCTTTTACTCACACTTCAAAGCTCCAAATAGCTCGAATTAGTTCTACAGCATCTACATAACTCAGAATCACTCCTACAAGGCATAAAACACACAATAAGTGCAAAACACTAGAGATTAAAGCTCAAACACAATAAAAGTGCAGTATGTTAGAGTGCGATAAGCGACTAAAATACATAATTATAGCCTACCATCAATTAGTCATGAGTATTTTTGCAAATACTAAATCTCAGTATTTAAATTGAAATACTGGTTTAAATCTGTTTATACTTCAAGTAAATCTATTATATTACTCAGGATCTTTAACTTCTACAACTTCTTTTCTAGTAAAGTTCAAGTCCAAAAATAACGTAGCCAAAATCGCTCTTTGTTTTGGTGGATAAATTCGTTTAAACTTTTATACATACAGCATATTAATCTTCATACAAATTGGCATGAGAGCTGTTGGGAAGTGTGAGAGTGTGACAGGCTAATCTAAGGAATGGGTATATATATATATATATATATATATATATATATATATATATATATATATTAAGAGTCGATAAAACCATAGACTCCAGAGTATGGGAGACAATAAAATTTAGTGGATTATATAACTTTTTAATATTGAACTTTAATGATATCTCGTTATGTGTTTTTAACTACATGCTACTAATTTGCTTCTAAATGTAAAGTCTACCCAATCATGTGAGGGAAATTTTATAGTTAAAGACCACATACGATCCTCTTATGGAATAGGAACACAATCTATCTTTTTTAATTAATTAATAGCCTGTTTGGTCAAGTTTCTCTAATTCTATAAGCATTTTTTTTCTTTTTCTTTTGTCAAAGCTGAAGTGTTTGGCCAAGTTTTTGGAAGAAAAAAAATTGCTTTCGAGGAGAAGCAAAAGCAGTTTTGGAGAAATAGGAAAAAGTAAATGCTATGCAAAAGCACTTTTTTGAAAAATATACTTAGAAGTAGTTTTTAAAAGATTGGTCGAACACCAATTTGTTACTCAGAAGTGTTTTTCATATTAATTAGTCAAATACAAACTGCTTCTCACCAAAAGTTCTTTTGAGAAAAGTACTTTCGAGAAAAAATATTTCTCAAAATAAGTTGATTTTTGCAGCTTAGCCAAACAGGCTATAAATCATCAGCGCTTCGGTGTTTTAAATTGATCACTTTAAATTTGCTGCATATTCTAAAGTTTGCTTTCAGTTTATTATTCAGCCAGTGATAATTTCTTCTCATATTGACCAATTTAAGGATAGTGATTCTTCTGTAAAACTAACTAATGTTCCTCAACCTAAAAAGTGGGGAAACATAGATAAGAGGCGATGTGACAAACATAATGTTGCAGCCTAGCCTCTGGAATCTGATTTTCCAATCCAACTGCAAATTAAAGGCAAGTAAATTCACCTTTATTTATTGTGACTGAAAAAGTGTTTGGTGTACATATTTAATTCTGTTTATCATGCCAATATATTATATAGAGAGAGAGAGAAGCCTTTTTGGTTTGGTGTATCATTAGAAAGTAGAAAGAAAAATGGAAGGAAATAGAAGAATGACTATTGTGATGGTTGTAGTGCTTGTTTTTACAAGCCAAAATAACTTAGCAAAAGCTTCATTCAAGAGTTGTTTTGGAGAGTGTGAAGTGGGTTGTCTTGATGTAGAAGCAAAGATTGAGTGTACTACCAAATGCTTGCTCAAATGTCTTATTCTCAAAATCACTCAACCAGATTCACTCCGTTACTGCAACTTTGGCTGTTCTATTCATCGTTGTGCAAAATTTGGAGATGGTATGTATAGTGTGCCGAGAACCTCTTGGTAGGAAACATTTAATTACTTACTCGACGTGAATTTTTATTAATCAAGCCAGCAAATTTCCAGTACGAATGTCTCAAGGAAAAAGTGTAGTAATAGACAAATCGCTCGGAAGTATAATATAGGAGTGTCAATAGTTTGATTTGATTTAGTCCGTCTTTTTTAGAATAATTTGTAGGTCTAAATAACAGAGTTTAATCTAAATTTCAAGATATTTGTGTCATGCAATGCAACTAAAATGTTTTGGCATTGCAGATGTAGAAAAGGTTGACAGATGCGTCCACCGCTGCAAGAAGATTACATGCAACCTCCTACACTAAAAGGATGTGGCGAACAATGTCTTCTTTCCTCTATTTCGTTTCTCTTTCTTGTTCTTTTCTTTTGGCTTGCATTTGAAGACACAAATTCAATCAAATATGTACTGCTCAAAGAGACATGTTATACCATGTACTGTTGGGACTTGGGAGAGAATAAGTGGCAATAAATTCCTATGGTGACGACCTTTGTACTCTAGTTATCAAATAATTACAAGAATGAGAATTTTACTGCGGTAATGCTGAGTTTTCAGAGAGACTACATTTATGTCTAGCATCATTCTAATCTTCTTTTATTTTTTAATCTTTGTCTGCACCATGTTCGTTATTTGCTTAACCAAATTTTATGAAATGGAAGAATCTCAGAAGTGAAATGAAGCTCTAGTAGGATAACATTCTCTCTACAATATCAGGAGAGGGAAGTACATTCCAACCGGGAAAATAAGAGCATTTGACCTGTTTTATAAAGTAAAGACCGGTTACAACAAGACCTACCAAAGATCAGAATTCATAGTTTTAAATGCAAACTAATACTCCCGATTTTTTAAACTTCAGTTGTAAAGCTTCCAGTTCAAACTTCAAAGCTACAATAAAGTGTAAATCGCTTTCATCACCAACAGTAATCAACGCACAGGTGCCAAATCACGTTAACATGGCAGAGAGGGACCATTCCTTAAGGAAATGAGAAACAGATGCAAGAAAAAAGGAAGTAGCAAGTCTATTTGGATCACTAATCTGCATCCATCTCTTCAAGGGCAGCTTTAGCTGCAGTCTTCGCTTCCTCTAAAATACCATCAGGAACCTACAAACAAGGCCGTCAGTTACGATGCCCCATTATACTGGTCCACCATTTCTAAATACACAACGAGGGTGCAGGGGGGTTTGGTGGGTGGGTGGGGGGGGGGGGGGATCATATTAAGGCAATCAATCAAATGGAGCAAGGATCATGTGAATTCTTCACTGTAATGAAACTACTAACCTGAGGCGCCAGTCACTATGAAATTGATGAAGCAAACAGTAAAGACTACTGATGTGGCAATACTTGTGAACATAAGCTTTGATATACGGATTCAGATAGAGACTACTTTACCATAAGGACCACACACATATCATACTTCACCGAAATGTTTGGCAAATTAAATGTAGTCTGCATCTAAATATTTTCTCTATATTGATGCTGGATAGAGACAAGCCTAAGTACATTGGTTAGATTCAGCTTAACTTTGAGACATCATATTTTATTTTTTGTTTTTAAGTTGGCTGACAGTTGGAAGCGAAACAACAAAATGAGCAGGCAGGTAAAATTAAACATAAGATAGAAGTATCTATTAAACACAAGCTCTAAAAGAATCCTGAGTTACCTTCTGATGTTGGCGGTTGGACTCGTCACATATCCAACTCATTTCAAGTTCAAATGCCTTGTCCTTTGCCTCATCATGTACTCCATAAATTCTGCTTGCAAACAAAACATATTGTCGAAACAGTGAAGGAAAAAGTATATAGCAGTATAGCACCAAACATTTAAAAAATCTGAATGAGAGGCATTGAAGAGTTAAATTCTAGTCGTCAATCGAATCGGCGGAAAACCCTTTAAAATTTGTTAAATATTTCCGAGAATAACTCTCTTATGGATCACAGTACTCTAGAGATCAAATTTTGTACAACCAGCATGCCAATTGAAAGAAACATGCTAATCATAAATTGATTTCTTAATTCTTTGAAAAAATTAATAACCACATATAACCACTTTGGTCGAAGAACTATTAAAAGTCTTGCAAATTACGAGAAGGACTGCAAATAATATTTAGGCAGAACTAAGATTACCCTGCATAAAGCGAATTCACAGATCACAACACATTTTCATACTGCCGTTTGCAGATAGTTCTCAATGTCAAAAACAAGAAATCTGCAGAAAATCGGATCTTGTTGACACATACAATTATGTCATGAATTTTGAAGTTCAAAGAAACTATCGGCTCGCCAACAGATGTTACATGTGCGGCAAAGCTCAGAGAGGATTAGTCACCTCTTCCTTCACTGCGTAGTTGCAACAGACCTTTGGAGCTTTTTCTATTCAATTTCTGGACTAAGTTGGGCCATGCCATAGTAAATCAAAGAAGCTTATGCATGCTGATGCTTTTGGAGAGGTGATATGATCCTAGCAGCTACTTTTAGGTGTATTTGGACAGAGAGGAATTGCAGATGTTTTGATGGAATCTCAACTCCTACACACTCCCTGAAAGCTAAATGTTCAATTAGCCTCTTTTGCTGGAGCACCCTAACCCTATGTTACCCGGACTCTTCAAAAATGTTGATGGGTGCGTGTCGGATCCTCCAAATTTAGTGCATTTTTGGAGGATCCGACACGGGTGCGATAACATTTTTGGAGAGTTCAAGCAACATAGCCCTAACCTCTGTAAATAGTACTGATAATTATTTGGACTTAGTTATCCCTGATCTTAGAAAGTTCACTCATGTATCAGAGCTAACTACTACATATCTTTGTAGTTATTGCATCTTCTTGATGCCTTATTAAAGGAGCCCTTCTAACTTCATAAAAAGAAATTTAGGGAAAAAAAGTCCGATAGGAAGAATTACTTACATTTTGGCCACCTCAATCACCCCTTGTCGGCAGGTCATCTCCGATAACTTCAGTTTTTCAATTTCTCTAAATATATCACATTAATATTTTGTCATATCAGCATAAGGAAAACTAAGCCCAAAGCAAGCCAAACGAATAACATATTAAAATGCTAGTAAATAAGGAAACACTTAATTGAATAAACCCGCCCTATCAGTTCCTGATAACTCCAAAAATTTAATAGTAATTCACAGATCTAATAAAACCTGATAACTCTAAAAAATTTATAGCAACGGTCCACCCTTTTAAGGTGTTCCAGTATGTTCTTTTTAATATATATTGATAGTGTTCAAGCTAACTCGTGCACACCTGGACTAATCACCTAGCAGTCTGTCCAGTCCACAAGCACGGGTTGCCAAAGAAATCATGCTCACCAGTCACCAAGGCTAGAGTAGATGGACTTACACCAAGTATTGCACTTGGTGTAGATGGGATTCAAACCGGAGATCTCTGACTTGTTACTCGTCATCCCCTTAAGACTGACCATGCATGTCTTTTATGCATGCAAATACTGCTACTCACTTTTTTTTGGGATAAGGTAGACGAATACTTCTAATCTTGTTTTTTCTTTAAAGAGGAGGGGAAGTATGTGTTGTTTACATAAGCGACCAGGTGAAAACTTATGGTCCCGTGCCAATATGTTTGGAGGGCAAATCACTCTCTCAAACTTAGATGCCGCAGAGAAGAATAATATGACAACCGTTGTCCTTGCTGTAGCAGTTGACAATTCAATGCACCCAACCACGGACCTATAAAGACCCAACAACTACAATGTACGGGATTTATGTTCCTAGACTTCAGCTGGCTGGTATGTTAAATAAAGGGTAAAGGGAACAACTTCCTAAAAAATTGCATTGTAGGAAAAATATCTCTGTGCTCTAATGTTTTGAGTTAGTGGACATTCAATGCAGATTCATCTGTCATGACAAGACATAAATGAACATTGGAATCTGGAATATAGGATATTGAGAAGAGAACTACACTTACGTTTTAGCAGCTTGTCTGCCCTTTCCAATAGCAGCACCAAAGTACCTCTACAGCAAATGCCAAAATATATTCACATCGTAAACAAATCAAATGTAATAGGACCATATCACACCCAAAGAATATGGGAATTTAAGAGCAGATTCCAGTGGGGCAAATATCACTTGTAATTGAAAGAACGATTCAACTCACGTATGAGACACCAGAAGGTTCAACCAGGTACAGTTGAGGTCCATCTCTATCATACCCTCCAAGAATCACCCCACATCCGAAAGGCCTGTAGCAAGTTGTACCCCAAAAATTTCAGATATAAAGCAATTTTTCTTTTATTTGTTTCTTTGCTAAGTTTCACACACACAGAAAGCAATTAACAAATCTCCAATATACAAACCGCTGTACATAATCCAACAAACCTGAGCCACCAATACAGTGTGCATAAATGCACATAACTAGCAACGCGTTCCGCAAGTTCTTTCACTGGAATTGGCTCACCATATGTACTGCAAATTGCAAAAACCAGCCAACAAGCAGTCAGTAGAAAAGAATTACTTATCCAGCACTATGCAGAATCTTAAGTTGAGACTTAAAAATCCTTTAATAAATAAAACAAATAGCAGAGCATACCATAAACGCCAAGACCACATTCATGATGGCTATCGAGTTAGTCTCTGCTACTGTAACTCTATGAATTTCTTAGGAAAATGTTGTTAACAATAGAATCTGCTCAAGCAGATTAAGTTTTTGCTAGAAAATGAGAATAGAAGGTAGTCAAGTGGCGCCTCTTTTTTTCTGTAATCATGGCAACAGAAGAGACTGAATACCATCTTTTTGTAAGGGCGGTGGGGTAGACACCAGTTTTGCGTGCACCTCCACTAATCCACCAGACAATCTAACTACAGACCACCAACAGAGGTTCCAGTTAAATCTGCTCACTAAGGCTGAGCAAATGGGCTCATGCTGAGTGTTGTAACTGGGGTCTGAGATTTGAAGATCTCCAGATGTTACTCCTAACTCCTATGCCTCAACCACTCAGCCATCACCTTGGGAACGGGTACTGAATAGTGAATACCATCTTAAACAGCATTTATCTCACAAGTAAAAGGAAGACACTTCCAAAATAGAAAAAGCACCACCAGAGTTGAAATTTCTCTGTTATTTTCTTTGCCTCAAGTAGCTGGCTGTAAGATACTACTTCTGCAATACTATCTACTATCACTAGGCCAAAAAACCCATGATATAATGCAGACGGTTCATTAGGTTTTTATTCTATGTCACGCGTATTGGACGTTAAGATGTACCTTAACATATTAAGATACATAGGCATATCAAACACATTTAAGGTAAATTTCATTTAATGCTTCTAGTCAAAATCATAATTGATAATTCTGGTACATATATTTTATTTTATTTTTGACAAGTCAAAGGAGATAATTCCTTTCACATATCTAAGTTATGAGTGGGAAATAAACTAAAATTTGTTTAGCCTTGTTCATAGCTGTCACTGCATGATATCACAATGTATAAGCACTCCCATGAATGCTATATTGCAGGAGACCAGAGGGCACAACAAAAGTCAAACACTTAGATGTAAGAAC